TGTAACAAGATGGTACCCAGACGACTGGCGCAGCCGCCGGCGACGGCGAAAGCGACGGCAGTGTCGGGATGGGGCCCCCGCCGATGCCGAGCTCCACCGGCTCCGCTACCCGCCGCAAGACGACGACCCCCGCGCACGCGCAGGCACAGGCACCGGCGAGCAGCACGAGCTCGAGGTCCAGGCGCCGGCCTGTACGCCCGCCCACGCCGGGCTCTTCTTCTCAGAAGCGAGGCCAGTTTTTCGCCCCAAGGTCAAGCGTCGCGCCGCCGCCGCCGCCGCCGCCGCCCGCGCAGCTGCAGCTGCAGCAGCAGGAACAGGTGGTTCTCCTGTCTTCGGCTCCTTCGGCTCAGGGTAGAGGCATCGGCGGAGTAGTTGTGTTGGGTGGAGGTGGGATTACGGTTACGGAGCATCACCGCCGTGGCTCAAGCGAGGGGTCCCGAGAAGGAAGAGTCTTGCCGGTGGCGGCGGCAGCTGCCCGCGGCGGGCTGATTCAGACGTCGGCGGCGTCTCCAGCAGAGGGCGGGGGCGGCTCGGCGGAGGAAACGAGTGATGGTGGGGGGCTAGGGGCGGCAGGCGGGGATACGGGGGCGGCGGCAGAAGAGAGCTCGGCGGGGCGTGTGCCTGGGTCCGAACACACGTCGCAAGGTGAGGAGGTAGGCTGACGTCGTACGTTTTGCTCTACCGCACCACCCCGCGGTTGAGTTGCGAAGTTCTTAGGGGCGGTGCTGGATCACTTGGCTTCGATTCCAGAAGAGCTAAACTTGCTTTAACTCCTCTTTGTCTCTCGCCTGGCAGGTTCAGCGTCATCTCAGATCGGGCTTCACCTCAGCGCACGCCCCGAAAGAGAAGTGGTAGTCGAGCCACCAGACCGGCCCCAGGGGTCGCTACAAGTGCCAGCGGAAAGGGGTGGCCCTTTTGATGGTAGAGTCGGGGACGACGGAGAGGGAGAGGGTAGTAGGAGCTTGATCGGGGCAGGGGGGGCGGGTAGAGAGGAGACGGAGAGGGCTAAGATCGCCGTAGAACAGCGGTCACCGCGGCCCGAGCAGCTCTCGCGGAACGGGGAGAGAGCGAGCAACGGGGGCACCGGTGCGGGTAGGGGGGGGGCAGTGTCCATGGCTAGGAGCATCACGGAGCGGCTTCCACGCCCCAGGCAGATCTTGGAAGGTGAGAGCGGAAAAGACGACGGGCTGTTGTAGGGTCGTGCGGTTAAACCACGCGGCAAAAGGACCAGCTTGCTTGGCCTTTCGTCTCGGTTGGTTTTCCTTGTCCGGTGTCAGGGCGTTTGGTATTAGGCCTTCTGGGAAGGTGAAGAGTGGTCGGCTTCAAGCAGCAGCACGTTGTTTGTCTTCCGCCTATACCCCGCCCCTGATCACCTATTTTTTCCCCGCACCGCACCGCACTGCACCGTGCCCTCACCCCACTCCTTTCTCCCCTGTTCGCATTGGTGCGAAAAACGCGTGCGCCGCTGCCCGTCTTTTCAACGCAGCCCTTCAAGAAGAGCTGGAGCTTCGAAACCCCGGCCTGACCGCCCAGTCGAAGCCGATCATCCTGGCGGAGGTCTTGCCGGCCGTGGCGGTAACCTCCCTTGCGCTGTGGACGCTTGCCGTGTACGCCGTGGGAATCGCTCTCGTCCTCACCGGCATGCTGCCTGGGAGCTCCACTTCGAGCATTCCCTGGGCCTACGAAGATGGCAGCAGCAGCAGCAGCAGCAGCAGCAGCAGCAGCATCAGCAGTGGGAGCGCTTACGCCGCCGGCAACGTCTGCGGCAGCGACGCGACTGCTGCCGCAGCCGCCGGTCCGGACCCCTCCGGCGCCGCGTCCGCGTTCGGCTGCACGGACCTCTCGCCGTCCGCGGAGTCCCTCCTCTCCTACAGCTCGTCGTCGTCGTCTTCTTCCCTGGCCGCGGCCGCCGAGCAGCAGCGGGCACGCTACGCTGCCGTGTTCTCGGGGGACTTCGCCGGCCTGGCCGGCCTGTACGGGAGCGTCTCGCTCCGGGCGGCCTTTACGGACGAGGCGACGGTAGCGTTAGTGGACGCGCTCCCGGAGCCGGCCGTGGTGGACTTGATGGTGGAGGCGTGCACGGCGGGGGCGGCGGGGGCGTGGGGCGAGTGCGAAGGGGGCTGGCAACCGGTTTTGTTCCAGGTGCGGGCCTTTTCTACGGCCGTGAAACGTCCAGGTTGGGGGTTTACCCCCCAACCCCTGTCTTGTTTCTGGTCGGCGAACGCGCTGTTTGAAATCTATCCTTGTCTCTTTCTCACGCTGATGCCCATTCCGCGTGTGTGCTTCATGGGAAGGAAAGAGTGGGGTTCGGTTCCTTACTGCTGCTGTTGCGGAAGGTTTCGGGGGTGTCACCCGTAGAGCAGCTTATCCCGGCGTTCCTTCGCTCTCCCACGTGTTGTGCCATGTACGTACGTACCTTGTTTTCCCTTGTACCCTGGTGTTGGCGACACGTAGTCCGCCAGCCTCCTTTGTGCACTCCTCCCCCTTTGTTGTCGTGAGGGTTGCTGCTACGGCTGTCTTCACGCCTGTCACCTTGCTCGTCTCTCTTTTCCGGCTCGGTGTTCTCCCGCCGCCTCCCGAGTCAGCGGCTGACTGATATATACGGGTCTCGGTTTCTTGCCGCGCCTTGCATCGCGCACCCCCTTGGTTGTCCTTGCGCCGTATGGTCGTTGCCGTGCCGGCGTTACCGTCCGTGTTGGCGTGTTCCGTGTTTGGCGGATTCTCTCTGCGGCAGGAGGACGTGTCTGTTTCCTCGGGGGTGGGCCTGCCGTTGTCCGACAGGGGTTACGAGATCTTCAACTTTCGCCAGAATCAGGAGACTGTCCGGGGAGAGGCGATCATCCAGCAGTATCGCGTGCTGGTAAGTGTTTTTTGTTGGTGTATGGAACTCCGTGGCGGAGCCTTTGCCACGGTTGTGTGCCGTTGGGTAATGGGGGGTAGGGGTCGATAAACGCCTCCCCTCGCTGGGGTTTGTCGTTGAGACGGACGCTTCGCTCGGCACAACTCGGCGTGGTGTTATTGGCCCTCGCCTGAACTTCTCCGTTCTGCTACAGAAGGCCATACCCAATCATTCAAACAGGTATTTTTGGCAGCAAATTTTACAACCACATGGCAGCAGATACCGGGGTTCCATGTTCCAAACCACAAAACGGGTTGTACCCACCGCAAAAACGGGGATAAAATACAACTGGAAACGGGACCGCTGGTTCCCCGGGGGGACCCCATGTACGGGCGTTTTTGGGTAGGGTTCTTGGGGTTTTTTTTTTTAGCAATTTTTTCCCCCGCAACCGTTTTTTCACACCCCCCCCCCCCCCCCCGCCGGCCAGTGAGTTGTACAGGAAGGAAAGAGAGGATCTCGAGGAGGAAATGAGACAGAGAGGGTGTGACATGGACAAGTTTGGTAAATTAGACAACAGCGAAAAAACGATCGCGATAATTGGGGATAGATGGTGGGCACAAGAGGCCCTAGAGGACGGGGATAAGATGTGCAAGAAATTTTTATGGGGTTTGTGGCAGAAACGTAAAGAGCTCCCAAATGTTGGTGGTGTCTCTAGTAGGTGTAGGAACGGTGCTCCGTCTCGAAAGGGACGCGTGGTCAATGGTCAAATGACTACGGCAAGCAACAAATGAGTACGCCCCCCCGCCGGCCAATACTCCGCAACGTTGGGCACCTCTCTCTCTCGACTCTGATACAAATCAGGTGGGCTTCGTGTCCACCACCTCCAGCACCAGCACCAGCAGCGAGGCCGACTTCTCCGGGCTGACCACGGCGCGGTGGACGCTGACGTACGAGACGAGGGGCGCCGGGCGAGGGTCGGGGGTGGCCATGGCGTGCGCGCTGGGTCTGTGGGTGGTGGGGTGGCTGTCGTGGTGCCACGCCGTGTTTCGCCGCCGCGAAGGAGGCTTTGAGGTATGTATGCTAACGAGAGGCCTACCACCGCCCGCCCCGCACGGTAGCCGCTCCTCGACGGGGGGTAGACACCTGCAGGAGGAGAAAAAAACCGCAACTCGATGCTAACTGTTACACGGATTGGTTCGCTGTTGTTGTGCCGGGAGCTCCTCCGTAGCTTGGTACTGCTGTATGGCTGTCCATCCTTACCTCCCGGTTTTGTCACACGCGATGGCTGGTTGTGTTTGGTTCGCCAATTGTCCACGGCCTTGCTCGCTCTGTCTACTCTACACGTTAGGAATCTGTTTTCGCATGTGTGTTTGGCACACTGCATTGGTGCTAATCCTCGACTAGGTGTACATGCATTAACTTTCTCTCTCCCCCTTGCCTCCATCTCTCTCTGTCTCTCGCTGTCTCTCTCTCTCTCTCTCTCTCTCTCTCTCTCTCTCTCTCTCTCTCTCTCTCTCTCTCGTGGTACAATATTACCTCAAACGAACCAACGTGGCACTCCGAAATCAGGACGGCGGACCTCACTTCGAACACAAGTGCCTGGCTTTCGCGGGGCTGTCGGTGGCCCTCTACCTGGTCGGCAGCCTTCGCGGGGCCCCCGGCTCGGCGTCGTGGGGCCTGGCGAGCGAGATGATGCGCAGCCTGGCCGCGGCGGTGTTTTTGGTGGCGGCGCTCTGCATGGCAGACGGCATCCCGCGGCGCAGCGTAGACAACAGGTTCACCATCGCGATCGCCCGATTTTACGCCCCCAAGGTGTGTTTCGTGATACACTTCGGCTGTCTGAGGGAGAGGCGGCAGGGGCTTTGGTCGTGGTGTTAAAGTGTTTCCGGCGGGCAGTTATTATCCGCCGTGACTATGCAAGTCATACTGCGGCCTCCCATCGCGACCGGGGCTTAACCGCGGATCGCGAGGTATGTAGGCACGAGCTTGCGACCGGATGTGCGCCTCGCCTTGCCCTTTCCGACCCCCCCCCGCCCACCCTCCCCTCCACGCTCCCCATGCCCCCACCTCGCGCGCGCCCCACACCCTCCGACTGTCGGCTGCTTTCGTTCACCCCCATGCCGTGTCAAAGGTGGCACTTGGCGTGGCCGCACTGATGTTCATGCTGCTGGTCGACTTGGCGTTGTTCCCCAGCCTGGCGGGGTGGGATCACGGGTCGCTGGTGGCAATGGACAACTGGCCGCATGCGCAGCTGGTCGCCTTTACCCTGGTGGGTATGTACTGCTGTTGTGGTGGTGGTGGTGGTGGTGGTGGTGGTGTGTGGCTGCTGATGCTGCTGCTAATGCTGCTTTGTTTGGGTGGCGAAGGAAAAGACTGGAGCGCACGCTAGATCGACCAAGAACGGACGGGTGCATGCCTTTTTTTTCGTGTTGGTGGTGATGCTGGTGGGGAGTTGTTGCTCTCTCCGAACGTGAGCTTCATCGAGCAGACAAACACACACACACACACACACACACAAAATAAAAAATAAAGACCACTGCAGAGGGATGCCCCCTATATCGTTGTTGTGTTTGTTTTTTTTTTGTCCGGTTTGTTTTCGGAACAATTTTGCAGGTCGCCGTCGCGGAGATGGTCTTGATGGCGATGTGGGCCGTGTGGATGGTGTGGAGGATCACCAGCGCGGGGCGCCTGCTGCGACAGCTCCCGTACGTCCCGACGCGGTTCCAGCAGCTTTCGTACACCTTCTTCGGCCTGCAGGTAATGGAAAAGGAAAGCAGATCTGGCTTAGTTGGACGAAAGGTTATGTTGCTATGGAGCCGCGATGGCCTAAAGGCCCGTTCCGGCGGAAGGACCAAAACCTCCAGAGAATGGTGTTCTTTTCCGTTGCAGCGCTGTTTTCGCAAGCCAAGGAGGAACAACCCCGGCTGTTCATCTATTTTTCACGTCGGACAGTGCGTACGTATGTGCTGCCTGAACGTGAAGAATGAGGTAGAGGAACGCTAGAAACAAAGCCGCTCTACACTGATCTGTTTTTTTTATTCAAACACTCGATCACCCCGAGCTGCTTTAAACGCTGCTCACCGACCGACCGCCCCCTGTGTTCGATGGCGTGCTGCATACCACGGTAGAATCCACGGTACGGTTCAAGTGCGGGGAAATTTTTGGGGGGGGCGCGGCCCACGACGACGCTGACCATCCCACGTAGCGTCCCTCCTCATTCTCTTGCTCCGAGGCGCCGTGATCTCTTTTCTGCCTCCGCCGCGTCGTGGAAAGCTTGACCTTGCTCTCCGCGCGCGCGTGCACGAAGGGCACGCGCTCGTTTTCTTTCGTTGGTTCCGCCGCACGGTGTCGTCGGTGCCCTGAGATAACCAATAACGCTTGCCCGTCACTACAGTATGTCAGGGCTTCTCGCTGCTCTTGTGCTAAGCATTCCCCCCCCCCCCCCCCACTTTGTGTTGTGTTGTGTTTTTTTTTTTTTTGAAGGTGCTGTTCCTTGTCCTGGTCTTCGCGGTGCTGGCGCTGGCGAGGCTGGCGAGGATCCTCGATACCGACTTGGGGGGAAACTCGGTGGGCGCAGAGTTCCTGCTCTTCGTCGTCAACACCAGACAGGTCGGTCGGGGCAGGGGACTTGCTCGAAACAGCGTACCATTCCGTCCGCAGCAAGATC